TTTCATTATTATAGAGGTAATGGCTGCACCGCGATTATTGTCGTCAATCATTTTAGCGCGTCTGGCGATCCGAATCGTGTAATACATATTAGCTATATATATAGATATATACAGAGGCCATGCAAATATGTATGGGACTATTTAACAGGAGCTTGTAAATTTGTATTGATTGTAATCAGTATTTTTAAGTATGTGATACTTGAGTAAAATACGTAGATACATAAACCTTTTATTAAGTAGTACTCCCAATAATACGCTCCATAAGTATCGCAATATATGATTTAAATTTTCTTCGAAAAATGTATTTTCTCAAAATAAAATACTCACTTTCAAATATATTTGCACTCTCGTTTTATACATTTAATATTTTCAATTTAATTGCATTAAAAAATAAGTCAAGAGATCAAATTTAATTTTAAAAAATGGCATTGAACGCTTTTGCCAATTACATTTTTTTCTTAATATTTTTCAATTGATATTTAAATAATATGATATAGACTAAAACCTTTTCAAAATATTATAATATATATCGCTGGTACACTAGTACTACTGTCTACTGGTAACAGTATATCAAATTAATTTGAAATATGTTCTTATACTCGTTCTTACTATGTGTATAATATGGAATCTCGATAACTCGAATCGGTCGGAGACAAAATTATCGTGGTCCCACTGCATAATATTTCTTCAGTTTTAATAAAATTAAATCTCGAAGTAATAATTTCTATGCACATCGCGCCTGTTATGATTTTAGTAACCATGATTTCAGGGAAAATGTTCATTTACTGAAAAACAGATAATCACTGAAAATGTAACTTTGAACTTGACTTTTAACGCCAGACGTGTCGAATACAAATGCGATTTTATAATTTTTATTTGGAAATTATATAGCGGGTACAAGCAGTGTATTATATTATTAGTATAAGTGTAATAATAAAAACAAGATGTATTTATAATATTAAATTGACGTGACAACATTATGCATAATATGGTACCTATATAAATATTCTCGCGTACATACTTATTAATTCGATTTATAAATAGCAGTTACGTTTATGTTTTATAATACATAATATAAGATTCCATTACCAGTCTAAAATACAGTACAAATAATCGTGTTTTTTTACCATAAAAATATAGTTACCTATCTACAATAATAATAATAATAATAATAATATGCAGTACAGGTTACTTACCTATACCTAGGTCCTAGGTAATCGAGTCTACTGCAGGTTTTATTAAAAATGGATTAATGGTGCTGCGGTGCTCCGTGCGGCAATCGAGGAAGTATTATAATATTAATATATTATTAATTATTATATTATATTTGTATTGATAGTAACATAATTATTGTTGTATCCAACAAACCACAAGATAATATATTATATTAAATTATGTCGTACGCGACCTTTAAACCGCGTTATTTGACGTTTACTTATACACAGGTATAAAATATAATATATAATGACACGATATCCTAAGGAGGTTAAGTTCGCGCTGCCGAAGCAACAGCAGCAGCAGCAGCGTTTAAAACCGCGAGTAAACCTATTACCTATAATATTATACCTATACGTCACGTTCGTATATACATTATAAACATTACCAATATCAATAAAATCCGTTCAGCGTGTGTGTGAGTGTGTATAAACGTTCACTGCAGTTGCGATCACCCAAGGCCGACTAGACGCGTGGAAATGTTGTTATATCCAATTTTTAACCCGATCCAAGCAAATAATAAGGGGGCCAAGATCGTTGGGAAATCGAACCGTGAAACCGAAAGCGTACGGACACACACACACACACACACACACTCACACACACACACGCACGCACACACTCGAGTAACGCGAAAATCGCAGACCGTCGTCGTGATTTACAGCTATAGGTATAATATGATATGGGTACTACAGTGTTATTAGTTATTACGCATTGTAAATAAAAATATTTATTTAAACTTTGCAGTCCCAAATTCCAAATGGTTTTTTTTTGTTTTGCCTTCGACACGATCTAAATAAACTCGCGTAGGTACACATTATTATAAATACATCGAACTTAATTAAAACGTAATTACACCCGAATAGATATAAACATTGTATATATATGTATCTATAAAATATAATATTACGACTGCAGGCATCGTAGTCTCCGAAAGATTATATTATATATTAATATCGTAATACTATTCGAAACGTGGCATAAATATTATTATGTTTAATATTTAATATTGTCAATTAAACTCTATATATTACTTACAGTTAGGTACATATTATTATACATACGAATTTAATAGCGTCCGAAGATATTAAATATTTACATATTATTAGCTTATAGGTATATATTATTATAACGACAGCGCTTACCTTATATGCCTACAGGCTATCGCGTTTATATTTAGGTATATGATGTACTTTACGAGATGTAACTGAGTGTGTTTGTTGGGGGAGGGGGGAGTCCTTATGGCCATCCGACGTGGATTCACGCACTTGAATTTTTACTATCTAAATAAGAAAGATTGCTGGAAGACATTTTTTTTATAATATTCAAAACTCGAACAGTTTATTATAATTACCTACTGCATAATGTTATTTCTCACATTACTTTTTTTCGTCGGAGCCATAATGTAACTGCTATGATAGGTACCAATAACAAACTGCGTGACAATAATATAGATAATTATAGACGATAATCGATGATATTACAAATTACGAGATTTACCCATACAATTTATGATTTTAAAGAACATCAGTTTACAACTGCAGATTAAAGTAATGCTTGGGGTTGTTAAAAAGGAGACTTCAGCTGTATCCCACCACCTATCGTTGTCGCCAATATCTTGCCCGATTTTTATAACTTATAATTATTATTTGTATCATTGTTATTGTATTATGATGTGGAACGATTTCAAATATTATTCAAATCTGAGCAATCACGAATTAAAACAAAGTTATAATATTATGTAGGCATTGGTTGTCATTATCTAATTTTGAGTTCTGGATTTTTAAATAAATATGTAATTGAAATATGTTTGAAAAAATGTGAAGCCAAGTGTTGGACGTAAAAATTGCATACTAATATGTACGCCTTTTAAAAAAGTTTAACATAAAATGTCCCTGCCTATAACTTTGTATAAAATATGAAGACGAGGAAATATGGTTATTTCGTTTATTTTTCTATATACTTGAAACTGTATAACAGACTACCCTTAAATAATATATAGTTGAGATGAGAACAATCTATATACATACATAAACGCATGTATATAATTAAAGGAACCAATAAATAATACATAAGACCTAATCGAAGATATTTTAATTGTGCCAAAAACTCCAATCTCCCTTTTTCTGTATATTTATGGGTGCGTATAATTTTTTGTATCATATTGTTATATAAACTTATAGAGATCAATTAAATTCTTAACATTATGACGTATATTATTCAAGCACCCTTAATGGAAAAACAGTTAGATGGACAACAAAATTCGAGGTTTAAGCACCTGGAAAAACATTATTTTTGGTGGTAAATTAAATGGATCACAATATGTGTCCATCTGAATCTCAAAGTTATCTGGTAGAATAACTCCCGGAACCAGATTCGTCCAGTTATAATATTTAAATCGCTGTTACGTCCAGTTTTAAGCATACGATATTATTATACAGGTACTTAAACGTATCAGTGAGACGATATCAATATGCAAGGACGTGTAGCTAAGACGATGTTTGGCCTGCTCACACTCCATACTTCTAATCCCGGCACTTCTTCCATTGTGCCTGCACATTATTAGTACCTATATAGGTTAGGTATTCGCAAAAATTTGAAGTTTTTCGGCAGAAGTTCGACAGCTCTCCCCGCAACGGATCGTTGATTTTTCCGTTGGTTATATGCTCATCGGTGTTGAGACTAATCAAGAAAAAAATAACTCGTCAGATTATAATATACCTATTATTATCTTGTCTAAACAACTATTGTGTGCTAGTAATCTAGCTAATTAGATAAAAAATGTCCTAATATCGATTAACTTAATTATAACAGTTTTCAGTAAAATATTATTTTCTTATGAATTATAAAATTATTATATTTTTTTAAAACTTTTTTATCAGAGGACTATACCTAATCAATTGGTACGTGTATATCCATTTCCTTCCAGCAAAAAGATAAAATACTGAATAATGAATTCGAAACGATAAAATCAAGATTTTGTTTATTTTTAGTTGTGAAATTTCTTTGCTATTTCAAAATTAATAATTATAGGTTATAGATTTTTCAAATTTTACGCGATTTAAATGCACTTTAAATTTTGAGCTTTTCAAAATTCTAAAATGATTATAATGTTGGATTTTAAGACCTGAAAATACCTAATTCCTAAAGGCTAAAAGAACGTCACTCTTATTAGTCTTATTTAATTCAAATAATCTTAAAAGCACAGTGAATTGTGCAAGGTCAAAACTTTCAACTTATGTTTGGTCCAAATTGTTTGTATTAATTTTAATCACATCTTGAAATTTAATAATTAAGAGGACGTTACACCGACATATTTTGTTGACTCCGCGCTTCGTATACAAGTAGGTAACATACCAAGTAGATATCTCAGCAGATCATGTTTACTCCGTTAGTTTAAAAATTAGAGTTAACTGACCTATTATAAAATTTAAAGGAAATATTATTATCTAAGCAATATCACAGAATTAAAATATAATACAGATTCTATGATATTGCCTAGATAATAATCTTACCTTTGAATCTTATAAGTTATAAGATATCAATTCAGTCTAATTTTTAAGCTAACCGAGCTAAATGTGATCTGCAGAGAGTAAAACTTTCTATGTTACGCACTTATCAGACGGAGACAACAAGTGTCGGTGTAACATCCTCTTAATTCTAATGAAAAAAAACTGATTTTAGCTCTCATAATAATATTGTCTAGATAAAAGTGAGATTGCATGTTTATCTTATATTTAAGTAAATATGTATCAATACATTTATCTGTTTTATATCTTTTGCAGATGTCATTTTTGTTATCTTTTCTCTGCGGACTGCCACACACATGGTTACAATATGATATCATTTTATGTATAGTTATAATAATATACATAGATAGTTTTTACAATTTTATTATCAACATCGAACCCTGCACATTGCACGTAAGTACTATCTTATTCTACAAGTATATAAATGCGGAGTGCTGGCCGGGTATAGGGTGCGAGTGTCGAGAATACCCCCCGCGTGGGTTTCTCCGACTACGACGTTTAAACTCACGATTTCCCCTTCTTTTGAAAAAAAAACCTCAAATACGCCCCGCCGGTGGTATTATAATCTTTATATATATATATTTATAACCGACGAACCACTATAATATCATAAGACCGTGTGTAATTTCCTATCGAAACCGATAACCCTCCCCCAACCCTCGGGTTGAGCACAGTCGTCGATCGCCGGCCCGGTGACATCTGCGGCGCGTCATCCCGCCATCTATTGTGCCCGCGCACCGCCGACTGCACCTGCGTTTTTCTCCAAAAATCTCGGAGTCGTGCGTTCATATATAGAATGTAACTCGTACGCACATTATAGGTATTATAGCTGTATATTGGTATGTATAAGTATCTGGTACAATATCGTATATAGTGTATATGGGACATGCCCTGCTGACCGGCGTCGTGTATGATTTGGATTTATGTGCCCCGAATTTTCAAATATCTAAACGACGCAATATAATATTATCGTGTGACCTGCGGCAAATCGCGATAGTCCCTAAAATAATCGTGTCTGCCTTATGTCCTGCTACCATCACTTCCAACGCCGGCGGTGCAGATGTCACTTTTTGGTTTCGATGTATCGCTTCTGTGGCAGATTTTAGATAAACTGCATATGAAATGTTAGATTTTTCTAGAAACTCTGAAACCGTGATCAGTGTTGTTTTTGAGAAATGTTATACTTTGATTGATTTTTAAGGATAGGTAGTAAACAAAAAACAACTCTAAAATCAAAATGGTCACATCTGGAATATAATATAAATAGAAGAAAAATTAACATATTTAAAATGTTGTCTCCGCCTACCACATACAGGAGGTTTGATTACTATAAGGAACAGAGTCGAATCGACTTCATCAAACACATGCCATAAAAGCTCTGAAGATTTATAAATGGAAAATTGTTCGAAATCGTTAATTTTGTATTATAATAAACCGTAACTGAAAATAATAAATTCTTCAAAAAACATCGTGAGACGTCAATATCATATAAAACTAAATTTACAACAATTTATAAGTATTTTTGTAAATAATCAACTTTTTCATAATATATTCGAATTTAGTTGAAAAGTTAATTAGAAAAAATGTATTATAATTTTCTATCGCATTCAAATTGAATGTGAACCTACAACAGGTACTTAACCTACATAATATTATTATATACTATAGTACAAGGGTGGCCAAACCACGGTTCACGTCATAGACTGATGCAATCATGCTGCTCACGTCCTATCGTAAGGCTTAAAACATTTTTACTAATATAGGTATAATACATGAAGACAAAATTATCCCATACAAAATTTAATCCGACATTATTGTACTCATTATTATACTATTTCACATTCTACACATTGTATTACATTTGATATTATCTTATTTAAGATAATAATATTGAGAACCTTTTAGTTTCTGCTCTTACATATTTTTCATTATACTGTGCGGCTCGCAACTTGCTTATCGCTGGCCACCCCTGCAGCTTTAATAGCACTATTATACGTGTACTGTGATTTTAAAGTGTTGAATATATCTTTTGCGGCTTATTATCGTGAAAGGTTATCTATTTTATATTTGAAACTATTATAGAATAATTATTGTTAACGATATCATTTATGCATATAATAATAATATGGTAATCTAAGATATATCACAGCAGCACTCCAACTTCGGGGTGCTAAGCTTTGCTGCTTTTACTTTTTTTTTTTTCCATAAACTGTTCACACTTATTGTATACTAGCTGATCCCGTGCACTTCGTTGGCCACTAAAAAGTTAATAGTTAATAAAGCTAACTATATAATATGAATAATACGTTTAATTTTATAATATAACGGTTAAAGTATACAAGTAATATCGTTACAACAATATTCAAATTATTTTCGATTATTAGGTATTTGTATTCGTTTTTTCGCATGTACAATGGCAACAATTAAATAAAAATAAACAAATATCAAAGACGCTATTCTGTTCTTTCAGTGATAATAAATAATAATAATAATTTCTTTCACAATAATTATTATTATATTTAATATATTATTATTATTATTATTATTTATTATAAACTAATAGCAACTATTTATAAACAAAAGTTTACATCGTAAATCTCAAAATCCCTGTTTGAGCACCTCCCGAGGTTGGACCTCTCCCTTTTTAAATTAGCCTATCTCCTTCCCAGAGGTCAAATCTCTATCTCTGTATCAAATTTAATCGCAATCGATTGAATGGTTTAGGAATATATAAAGGACAGACAGACAGACATTAATTTATATGTATATAGATTTTATAGGGTTTTGTTAGGATTAAACTAAATATAATTTTTTTTCTTCCACTTTGGCCTACATTAAACTAGCTGCAGCAACAAGTTTTGCAGAAAAATAAGGTAACGCATATATTTTCTTTTTTTTCATACATCTGAAATAACTAATTGGCTTATATATTATTATTATAGTATGATGTAATATAAACTATACAGCTGATTTTTGACAACTCGAATCGCAAGAGGAATATAAAGAAATTCGATTTAGGTATTTTTCGAGTTGCGGTATACCTTAAACTCAGATCAAAAACACTTCAGGTGATAAGAAAAAAATTTGAGTTATCGACGTTTTTGAGTTTTTGAGATTAGTGTTATCGAGACTCGGCTGTATACGGTTATACACACACACACACACACACACACACACACACACACACACACACACACACATACACACACATAAATATTGTGAAGTCGTGGAGTAAAATCCGATGTCGGATATAATAATAATATTATTACTATTATTAGGTACACCTATACCATATTTGTGTACACATATAATAAAATGTACCTATATACCTAAAATATGTATAAAATATTAATATACAACTACCTACCTGTAGTAGTATACCAACCTACTTGCAGCACGCGCCGTATATATATCCGTGAGCGGCGGCGGCAGTCGTATATACCTAATATATATGTTATAGTCGCAGCGTAAACGCTAGAAACTTATAACTTATAACTTATACATTATATACGAGATATATACCTATACCTATATATATAATACATTGTATATACATTTACAGCTATATATATATATATATACGCGTGTGAGTGTATAATATATGTCTGTATATGTAACTGTATAATATGTAAGTGAGCGCGCCGCTTGCTCGGATAATCGCCGCGGTATAAATATATAATTATTCCGCGGGGAGATATGAGTTTCTCGGATGTCAAAACGACCCGGTGATTTGTAGCCACGAGCGCTGATCCCAAGGCTCTCCGCCGCGGAGTGCGCGCACACGTATGTAACACACGGTCTGTATACCTACACTCACCAACTACGACTTCGACACACACACACACACACACACACACACGCGCGCGCGCGCGCGCGCGCCCGTCCGTATTTTTACGGTGAAAAAAAAATGTTTTTAAAATAAAAAGGTGTGATAATGACGGTTTGCCTAATCGTTGGCACAGGTGACCGGGTGACGTTGCCAACGGCGGACATTATAATATTATTATTATATGTGTTATGGATAAATATACATATATATATATATATATATATGTGTGTGTGCAAGGACCACTTGGATTTTATATACGTATATAATATATATTATAATATTATGTGTGCGTGTGTGTGTTTTTTGAATTTTTTTTCCGTTCGTTTCGCAATCGCGAGCTATAAAAATAATAATAATAATATTTCGGGTCGACTTTTGACCGCGCGGAAAGCACGCCCGCCACCGCTGCACGTAGCCCAACTATATACCTGCATATATATGGTCAAGTTATCGATTCGACCGCTCGGAAAGTATATAAATCGTGTTTGTGTGTGTGTGAGTGCTAGTGTTCATAGCTGGTAGCGTGTGGTCATGTGAGGTCTATACCAAGTTTAGTTTCCGATTATATGCTGCAAGTACCTATATGACATTCTTTTTGTTTTTCGAAATCATTTCGGCGCATGTACCCGTCTTCACCATGCTTCTGTATATAATAAAAGATTAAAAGATTTGTTTTAACCCTTTTGCTACTCATATCGTTTTTTTTTTCTATTCGAGCAATGAATCTGCATTTTGGTACCTCTACATAGGCATAGGCCGCAAAATCTTGAATTTATTGTAAGACGTTTTGTTAGCACACGGTTTGAATTATGAAACATTTATTATCCGGTTTAGAACTTTTATCTTGGCATTTTTGATTGTATTTATTTTACACCATTTTTAGGTCACTTGTACAGTTTCTGTCAGTTACATGAATTTACAAAAAATAATAATTTATTTAAATTTATTTTATAAAATATTGTTTGCATTACACGCAGCCCGTGTTTTTTTTAATTTGTAAACACCTACCTTAATAAATTTAGTTTATTTTTCCTTATGGACATGAACACATAGTCCTTTCTTTTCAATAACAGTTGATATTTTTTTAATCTTTTGATATTTTTGGCTTTTTAGACATTTGAACAAATTTTCTAAAGTAGTATATTGTGCATCACGGAACACACATCCCTTCAAAATAACGTATCACTTAAACCGAAACAAATAGCAAATATGTATGATTTAATGAGGATGTTCGAGAGATGATTTATTTTTCCGGTATATATTAAGCATATTATGTGTATACTGCACGCGAGAGATCCGTTAGTCTATCGTCCCGGTTCCTAAGTTCTAGAATCCAAACGCACTAGGAAATATTTAACAGTTACACGTAAGAAGAAATTCAAAATTTTTAACCTTAATCTTCGTTGCACATTAATAATATTACCTGCCTGGTGACTGCACTAAAATTGTACATGCGATACAGGTACAATGTATCGAAATAAAATACAATTATTATAATAATAATTAACAACGTCGCCTACGTCCACGTAATGCGAGTCGCCTTTTCCTAACTGAAACTTTCAGACCGTGGATTGCGTTCTAGACACAGTTAAATTATTTTTTTCACACATTTTCTGTGTCCCGATTGCGTATTACCGATTAGGGCATGAATTGTCAAAATAAGTAATTAATATTTTCTCAGTGATGTACGAAAATAATAAAAAACCAAAAAAAATCAGTCAAAATTAATAAAATTTATTAATTGAAAAAAGTACATACTCGTCATGAGATACAGTCTTCGTAAGCTCATCAAGTAAAAACCAAATATCGTTTAAATAGATCTGCATACCATCATCTGGGCCAAATATACTATAGTTGTATTTAATTCTACTACTTACTACCCAATAGGACGCAATTGGAATACAGAAAATCTAGGAAAAAACCGTTTCCTATTTGAATTTCGGACGCAATCGAAACACTGAAAAGGTATAAAAAGTTGAAACGGGACGCAATCAAATGACACCCCTGTGCTATTCTCGTCTCCTTTTCTATAACACCATTACACTTGGGTGCTTGAAACGTTAATTATTATTAATCTAACTAGAGGCCTCGTATGTTAGGTGTTATGTCTCTTGGTGTTAGGCTATCTATTTATTATTGAGGTGGCCAGTTACCTTATGGAATATATTTTTGAACTATATACCACCCAAAAAAATATGTAAAGGTGTGACGATAATTATATCATGCGCTTTTCTTATGTCTTTTACGCGGACTGATTTCTAGTGCACTCTCGTCCAGTACTCATCGCCAGCCTTCATCCACTCAGCATAAGTATTAGAGGTGGAGATGTCGCAAATAATATTATATATTTTAAACGCGTTGAAAATAGTTTGTCGTGACTTGACCTCGCAGACCACTTTATTATTCTTTATCACAATATCACCAGAACTCGTTTTCAACACTCGCGATTTCCTTTAACACGTCACAATGCGCTTTTGTGTACCGCGGGTCACAGAGCAATATTACTCCTCTATATTGTGGTACAGGCACACGTCATCATCAGAAACCGAACGGATTATTATCTACAAAAAGTATAATAAAACTGTCGTCCAAAAATAGCTCGGCGCTCTCTCGAACATAATAGCATTGAGCAGGTATATAATATAAAATATACAATATAATATACTCAATGATAATAGGCGCATAAAAGAGTGTAAATAATACATAGGTACGATATACACTGCTACCGACCTATACGCGTGCCAGATTCGATTTTTTGAGTATAAATCGTTCGTTATAACAATAATACAATATACGCCGACGGGTTTATTGTATAAGTATAACAGGACGTATGTATTATTAGTTTACTGATTCGTGGCAACGCGTTGTCGTGGTGCGTATTTTTATTTCTCCCCAACCCCTCCACAAGAGTCACGTGACCTTTTGCAGAAATAACGTCGTATAGCAATATTTTGAGTAATGAACATACGGAAAAAAATGTGCCCCGGAACAATGCGGCGGCTGCCGTGGTTGCGCACGCAAAATAATAACGCTAAAACACAATTTATAATATTATGATTGATTAATGTGTATGCGAACGTTCAACCGTCTTGTAAACCTTATAATATATTATAACAATAAAATCGTATGCGCGAACGATATTATTATACCATATTCTCTATATATTGTGTACAGTTAACGTGGGTACATATAACGATTATATAATACAAATAATATAATGTGTATTGTACTTACCTAAAAGTATATAATATGGTGGTGAAACTTGAGGGCAGAAAAATACAACTATACATTTCACCCCCTCTCGGCTTTTTGCACCTTACCTGTATCCCGACCACCACCCATCCATAGACTGCATAGCATGCGTCGGAGCGAAGAGCTCTCGACGTGTTCAAATTGTTGTATTATGATATACATATACCTATACCTATTGCTGAGATTTTGATAATATACACAACGAACCGGTGCAGTGGTCCGAAAATGTGTAAGTACTCGAAAATGTCATTGTCTGCAGAATGTCGACATTCTTATAGGCATATTATTATATTCATTATCAGTAGTGTTGCGACGGTCTACGATTCTTGCGTACAAATTTGTACCTGATGAGCCAACCCTTTTACGCGTACCGCGTGATGGTTGAAACGTTATGGAAAAATGGAATAGTCTTATCTGCAGTTTTCCATAATTTTTTCTCAAAAAAATATAACACTTACAGTAAAAGCGTCCAGAAAGAAATTTATACATTGAAACATTTTCTGTTTAATAATCAATAATAAACAGAATACAAAATATTATTTTCAAATACAATGTATATTGTATATATTAATTATAAATCTGGTAAGTTCAACAAATCCATTTTTCTGAATTTATTTAATTGTATGCACTACTTTTTGACACTAAGTTAAGACTGAACGGGAAGTATCGTTGGCTAGGTAGCATACAGCTTCTAAACGTTTATCAATATTCTCTTTAAATACTTACCAATTTTTTTTTTTTTACATTTCTATAATATAATATTGTATTACGTGTACCGCCTGCGCCAGCAGTGTTTAGTATACGTCTATAATATTATTATTATTTTTATTCATAAACTATTAACATCACACTGTATAGTGTATAGTACTCATTACCAGGGCTCGGGACATTATGTGCTTCAAATCTTAAAAATATGCACATACATATGCACTAAAAAAATATCAAAATATGCACTTAAATATGCATTTATTTTTAATTAAAAAAGACGTTAAAAAACATATCTTGTACATATTACTAAAATATAAGTAAATAAATATTTTATACATACTATATAATAAAAAAAATTTGGATTTTTAACACTCAGCATCTTCTTTACCTAGTAATTAAAATTTTTATGTAATACAAAATAATCATTTTATAATTATATTTTAGTTATATTAGTTTGTTTAATCATTTGCTGGGTTCTTGTATTGAAAATTTCCCTGTGTTTAATCATTTTCATATGTCTTACTGTTTGCATATGTTGTATTACACTATAGATCGCCGTTCATATACTACTTTAATTTCACATATTTTGCAAAATAAAATTCTTCCGTCTGCAGAAAATACATTATCCCCAAATTCCAAAATGAAACTTCTCAACCGACTAATGTGTGTTTTTTTTTCTTTTGGCATACTAAACCACAAATACGAGCGCTAATAAGTACAAAACATAACGAATACAAATACGAACACGACAACGATCGTAGTCCGTCGATCACTATGTACCTACTGGCGAACAAAATAATACCATAAAAGACAGATTAAATAAAAATATTGTCCTAAAAGCTAAAAATAAAATTGGTTCCCCTTAACGCTATTGATTATCGCCTTATCGGTATTATTGGCTATTGCCGACAAAATCATGTAGATAAAATTAATTTACTAAAAAATTGATTTAAGAGTAAATAATCAAAAATTATATTAAAATATGCAATCAAAATCAATAAATCTTAAAAATATGCATTTGTAGAAAAAATTCCAAAATATGCAAACATATGCACAATAAATTTTTAAGCTTTTAATGAGTCATTACACTGCCTGAATGTCTTCTTTATATAATAATAATTGGAATTGAATTTTGTACATAAAGATAGTTATTATTATCATGACAATATTATGCTGTGCTTAACAAACCTATTACGTTGGGTTTTTTTTTTCACGAATGGCTTATGATGATAACTCGGCCGACCTTTAAACTACATACATTATTATACATCTGATCTATGTCCTATGTCCTATGATAAACGGTCTCGATTAAAAATGCTTCACAAACACCTCACGAAAACGCGAAATCCAAACACAAATAATTCTGTTCCTACGTCTCGTTGAAATAAGCGTCTACTATAATGTGTAAACGAGTGTCATAAAATTATTAATCAATACCATTTTTAATACGAATCGTGTACAATAATTACTTTCAAATAGGGACCTATATGCCTAATATACCTATACCTAGGTACATCGTCACATCGACATAGCTAATAAGCTGCAGCAGTAAAATACTGAAATATTGATTTTTTATGACGATAATCCGTTTTTAAATATATGCGAGTTAGTATAAATTTGGTAACATAACTTATGCAAATTTTACATCAGTTAGAAAAGATGTTTAGTTTAAAAAAAAATGGAAATAATAGATTTTAGATGTGCCAATAAGGATAACAACAATCTATTCCTTAGCATATTAGGTATTTAATTATATCACCTTTATAATTTAGTAGTTATGGTAATTATAGATTAATTTATAATGTATACAATAAAACACAATATGGTGTAACATAGATAGTCTTATATAATAAATCTAAATTGTCAAATATTCTAATACCTATTATATAACGCAACTATCCATTCTATATGTATCTATGTTGGTCTACGTAACAGTAATTATTGAACGAAGGTCCAAATCTTAACTATGAATGTCTAGGCAGTGAATGTTGTAAAATAAATTATCGAGTCAACACTATTATGACTATTATATAATTATGTTCTTAAAAAGAGATTTATCAAATAATAAATTTTACTCACCTTGCTATAAAGCATCGTTTTTCGACGTTTGTTGAGAGCCGTGATGAGACATCTAAATTCAAGTACAGTAGTTGTTATGAGAAATGAGAATATAGGTATCTACAGGAGCGTAGGCAGGTGGCTGTTATGGGTGTTAAAACTTAAAACAGTTAAAACACTCCCCCTCGGCTGCATAATCAAAAAATACATTATATAGATGCATGTGAACATCCCACATCATAGGCTATAGGGTATGTATGATGGTTACTCTCAACCATGCACGCGGCTACCTATAGGCAATTAATATCTTTGAAAAAAAAATTAATTCTACAAAACTCGGATGCCGGTGGTAGAGTAACTACAGGTGTCATATGTTATAATATAGTGATCTGTTTCATAACAATACCAACGTTTCCAACATATCGCATATCGTTACCTATTATATGATTCGTTTTCCGAATGTTTCAGCAGCAGCTATTATTATTGTGCAAACGACCATCGAGAATTATACACGAGCACGATGTAGCGGGTCAGTGAAAAAAAGAAGCGTACATTTGCCGTAGTTGCCGTTTCGACCAAATGTATTATAATATTATTATTATACGTGATACGTCGCATGCCGATTCGAAACGCGGGACTTAACGGTTATTGCTGAACGCACGACACATTTTGCGCGTGGAGTATAAATTACGATACGAGATAAAAAAGACGAGCCACGCATGTATGTGCACAGGTATAATACGCGTGTACGTATGTATTAATATTATTAATAACATAATATAATATAATATAATATTGTGATACGCGGGGCGGCGTAGGTGAGCTTTACGGTCTTAATAGCTGATTGTGTGCGACGATAATCAACACACTGTGACGCGTTTTACAAAAGTCGTTTTTAGTTTTAGGTTTTTTTTTTAAAATAACATTATAATACGTATATCCAACGAAATGAGCGTGATTCCGCGGTCGAAAGTCATATTATAATGGTATATTGTTATTATTGTTATCGTATTATTGGCTGTAATATAATATTTCCATAAAAGTTTCAGCGATGAGTAGCATATTATATATTTTTTACATCGTGATAAAATATTGAAACGATGTCCGAAATCATTCGATCGAGTCGGTATTATAATAGTCTATGTATAAGGCTTTTCATTATGGCTCATATAATAAAGTACTACCAATAACGTAATATTAAAATGTGATGCTCGCGGAAGCGTAGGTGGACTTATAAAGTCTAATTAGACAGATTGTGGGCGACGATAGTCAAATAGCGACGCTTTATACAAAAGTCATTTTTGCTTTTTTATTAAATAAAATCATAATTCATAATAAGTATATCCAATGAAGTATTTGATTCACGATTGAATGTCATATTATTGTATTAAGTAAAAGTCGATATCTTGAATTTTTCTTTATCTCAAACTCAATTGAAGTCCGCTGAAAAGTCGAAGTAATAATATTAACACTGCAATAAGACTCGATATCTCTAACATTTTTTTGTTTCCCTTGAGTTTCGACGTAACGAGATTTTACTGTGGGTATTATTTATCGAACTATTGACTATGATATAATACTTCTAAACACATTTCAGCGATATTTCGCATGATATATCATGATAAATGGAAATTATGTATGTGAAACCATTTGATTATAACCCAACCTTTGCTAATTATTCGTTATTATATAACAATTTATAAGCTTTAGCCTAGAAAGGTACCCCATACAAACCTATCTATTTGCTTGCACCTAGAGGCTAGACGGGAGTTAGAATTTTTTTTTTTATTATTCTCATCGTTTTCAAACCACTTTTATCTCGGTGCCCCGAATACCGCACCCCTACCGCACGTGCATCTACAATTATTCAAAACAGCAATTACCTTGTTTTGTATATTATAGTAGGTGTGAAACATACTAATATGTTGATATATTATTAATAGTGCTATGAGCATTTGTAAAAAATTTATTCTTTTTGGCTTGCTGTAATATTTCTTCATGTGAGTTTTAATTAGGTAACGACTGCAATACCTTATAACGAATTCAATTTCGAAACTTATATTTTGCATTTGGATCAGTTTTTCCTTTAATATCATATTCGTCTGTTAAAACTTTTTACACGAGTTGTATATGAGTAATATTTAACTACAGTCTACTGTATGGGGACACGATTTTTGTATAATATAGAATGGAAATTATAGACAATGTAAAGCAATTAAATAATTTAAATATATTTTTTTTCAATACAAATTTATAGATTCGTATTTTTTTTTTTTTTTGAATTTTGATACTCGTATATAATAATATAATTCAACATATCAATACCGTGGTATAATGCGCCATAGAAAATATAGTATAATTAAATAGATGCACAAACATGTACCTGTCACTCATTTTGTGATTGTCTTCGCTTCGTATATATCCTAAAGCACCAACCTCATATATCCTGGTCCGAAAGTCACTCTGGATGCTTACTCTCTTGTCGTATGATGGCCCAATTTTGGGGAGGTACTTGGTGGTTAGTCTTATTAATCTGTCCCAAAATAGGACTCCCGAATTCTCCAGGATTGAGTGTTAAATAAATTTAAATCAATTTTGATCTCGAATGTGTGTTTAGTATGTTTTTATCCTAGCGGTTTTATTTTCTAAACGACATTTTACTATTTTTAATTTTACCATCGAGAGCAGAGTACTGTTAGTAAAACGTTGGATGTACAAACAATATGTCCGTCAAAACTTTAAATGATTAATATTCAAAATAAAATATTATGAATTGTTCAATATCCCGTATTTATATTATATGACATGATGTCTTTCCAACTATATTTAAGCCTTAAACTCCAATTCAGATTGAAAACTACATTACGAACGTTCGGGTCCCCACATATTATATTAATATATAATTTGGATAGACCTCGTCACTAACTTCCACCACTACCACCGACCAAAAAACAATCCGACCACGCATGTCCGCTCACGACGACAATCACTGTACACTGAGCGACATTATGGGTTTCTGTAATAATAACACCGCCAAGCGATAACTCCTATAATATAGGTCCTGGGTATAGAATTATTTCGAATTTATCTCGCTCGTTACAAATAACAAATAACAATATGCGAGTAATGCGAGTGTGCGTGCGCGAGAGCCGGGCCGGGTCCAAAATCGGAGGTTATTATTATAATAATAATATTATACACCTGTGCGGCGGAATTGGAACAATGAACGGTCGTTTTCTGCCCACGTGCCGGTCGTACACACATAATGATAATAATAATAATATTATCATATTATACGCGTCAGACACGCACAGGTAACTTAAACCCGTCCTTATTGTGTTATTATATCTCGTATGATGATAATATATGCGAGCGGGACGCCAGGATGTTGTTGGAGCACCCATCATCGTCCTGAGGATTTTCCATATCGCCCAAATAAGCTCTAGGACGTCGTCGACTTCGTATTATGATGGCGTGAAGGGTGTGCAGAGGTTACAACGGTGATTTTTTAGACATTCGTGACCAATTACATAATATTTTATTATTCAGTACGATTTTGCAACTGCAGGGGTTGGAATGAATACCACAGTATGACTGGACTCTAATATAGCTGCAACCCACCGAACTTTTGTCATCACGATCGCAGAATGTGGTGTGAGACTTGCAGACGGTCCAAACAACGAATAATAAACAGACGATCGGCATCGAATCCCTCACGGACACACCGAAGTCGAATCTCGCAAGGAACCGTTTTTTTTCTAGAGTAATACATGTAGATGATCTGTACATCGTCATAAATCTTTTTTTCGCCGGCTCATCGTATATGGTACCTACATATATATATATATATTATTTGTAGTGCCGCGTACAGAGGTATAAACTCTGTCATTAGCGGGGCGGAGTGAGTGGCTCTATACACACACACATAAATACGTGTCCGTATGTGTTACAATAATGTTACCTATATATTATGAGTATAATGCTCGAGCGCATATATATATAATATATATATATATAAAGGTACGTCGGTGCAAGAGAAGAATGGCCGGGGCGTGGAGACGAGCCGGCGCGTGCAACGCTAATAATAATGATGTCGAAGACGAGGAAGAATAACGTATAGTATATAATATTATGCTTATGAAAAAACCGAAGATGACGATGATAATAATAACGTATATAATAGTAATGATAATAATAATATATTATAATAGCGTGTCCGTCGCGTTTGCAGCGGGCGTAGGTATATACTACGACATGTGTAATATCAAATGAAATCGAAACTCACGGCTCGACCGCGTGTCGACGGCGGCGCCTATATTATACGCACACGACACGACGTTATAATAATATTATTATTTTGTGTATTATTGTTATTATAATATTATCATTATATCGCTGCACAGATAGACGATGACGCGTGCCCGGAGACTCGCCATCGTCGCGTTACAAATTACCTCAACCGTCGTGCGGTGAGCATGATACCCATGTGATGGCTTGGAGAGGTGCAGCAGTATGATTACGGCTAATCGTGCCAACGGCGATGATTCGACGGCGAAAATTATCGTTCGAAGAGACGCGAAAATTGAATTTCAAAAGTCGCCTTCACTCCGGTAATCACGAATGTCATTGCGTTCAACGCTTGCGGATTTTTCATTATTTATTTAAGAGCACTCTTTTCATAATACATTTCCGGTGGCGCGCGGTTGAGGCTTCCCGTAGTTCAACGAAGTACGCCTCTTCTAGTCCTAATTGATGAATGATGGTGATCACGGTAGCTCCGGGTAATCCTCCCCACACTTTTTTGTCACACTTATTACCGCCGCCGTGGCAACGTTTCGATCGAAGTTACGTGAAAAAGATTGACATGCAGACTACGATTTTTCTCTGTTCTGCACTGATACAAAACCGAAAGTCAATGCGAGACCGTGGTTGCAGTGAAGCCCTGACGGGTTGTCTAGTGATGCAACAGCATGCGCCCTTAAGGGGGGAGGGTTGAGTGTACCGATATCACGTGACAGCTCGGTAGTGTATTATTGTAATTGATTTTTGAAGATCACCTATGTGCGAATAGAAAATTTGTTATCGGAAGCAACGAGAACATTTTTTTACATATCAAAAATATTGTCTTTACGTCATAAACTACAGTGTCTATAACCACATATTATAACCATTATGTTGACTAGTAGACCACGTTAAACCCTGTATAAAGTAAAGGGATCCATGGATTGAATTATCTAAGACTAGACAGTCTTGGGCAGTAAGTACATGTAGAGATTTCGAACATTTTATACTATATGATTTGAATTCCTTTTAATTTACGCTCAGGTAAGGTGATCACGGTTTGCCCGTCGTCCCGAGGAATATTATTGCGGCGTTTTGCGGGGGGGGGGGGCATTACAGGCATTATATAGATGGTACACTATACCGGTATAGATTACCGGCACCTACATCCAGTCCCGCAAACGCGGCATTCACGGTAATCAGGTCGTGAGAACGCGGCGGTGGTTGCATTATATAATAATAATATATGTACGTAGGTAACTAAAATCGCGACCGCCGCGGCATCCCGTGTGTGCTTGTATAATTGCAGCGGTTTCGTTACAATATAATATATTATTATACGTACCATGGCAGGCACTTATAATATTTGTGTCCGGAAAGAATCTCGAGTCGAATCCGTCTGCGGCATCGGCGCGGGGCGATAATTACCGAGGAGATTTATACCCATTGGAGCGCTCCATAGACA